TTGGGTTTGGGCTGGAGGGACTTGGGAAGAAAGCCAAGAGAGCCGGGTCGGCCTGGCTCTTTTGCTTGGCAGGCGGGTGCGCACCCATGGCTCACTTTCCTGGCTCTGCCCAGCCTGCATGGCTCTGGCAGAATGAGCGGAGGGTCCGGCAGGGAGGCGCTTGCTGCCTTGGCAAGAGCTCCACCACCGAGCAGGAGGGCCCACCTGTCAGCTGCGCTGGGTGCCCCAGGCAAAGCTCTTCACGCTCTGCCCGGCGCCAGGCAGGGATGGTGGCTGGGCGCTTCTCCCGAGGTGGGTCGATCCTGCGCTGCGGCCCCAGGAGATTTGCTTCCCCACATGGGGTTGGGCTGCCCTCTCAGGCAAGGGAGTCTTTGTCGTACCAGTAGTAGGGCATCGTTTTTAAAAGAATTGGCTTTGCCTTCGAAGGCAAAGGAAAGACAGCGACAGGAAAGCCTGAAGCCGAGTGTCTCAGCCGGGCTCCGGTTGCAAGGAGGAGCCCTGGATGGCCGCCCATGGCTGCACCAAATGCCGCGGCATTGCTCTAAACGCCGCGGTAGCACAGGGAGAAGGGAAAGCAACAGTGGCGGAAGGTCTCCCGATACAAAGTGCCCCATCAACACCGAAGTCAACATCCAAGCCGTTGCCGCCCACCTGCCCAAGGATGCAAGGTGGGGGGATTAAGTCACCCCTGAAAAGACGGCCTAGCCGTTTTTGGGGGGGGGGATCAAAAAAAATAAGGCCCAGCCTTATTTTGTGAGAAACACGGTAGTTGGTAAAATTCTAGAACTATCTTTTATAGAACCTTCTCCAGCATCTTCCTTTTAGCTATGTTTCCATTTTCAATAGACTGCATTTTCTCACTTTGGATGCTATTTGGAAGGTGATAGACAGAATGCAGTGTCAGATAATGCTAATTATTAATACTAATTAGAGCAATACTTTTAGGCACATCCTAGCCTGACAGAGCAATCTCTCTTCCACTAATCTTAGAATAATTGATGGAGAAGTTCTTAGTCTTAGTTCTTAGCCTCAATCCCTAGCAGGAAATTTTGAAATTATTTTCAACTACTGTGAAAGGTTACCCATACTAGGTTGATCAAAAAAACTATTTATTTATCCTCAGTCTACCCATTCATTTAAGCAAACATTTATAGTGAAAATTCACAAAATGTACTCTAGATTTGTATGCTCTGCAAACATTTCTCAGTAATTGACATTTGACCTCCAGTAATTTTGCTATAGGTATCAGTAATTGTAGTTGATACATAACAAAAGACAAGAATCAGAATATCATAGCAGGTGTGTACCAGTAAGCAATAAACATTTCATAGATAGTACAATGACACTGAGTAACTTTACCTTACTTTCATTCAACAAATCAAAATAGCCAAAGCTCGATAACCATTTATTTTTGAACTGTATCATTAAGCACTGGGTTAAATTTCAAAATGTAATTTCAACTTTGACAGGATTGATCCTGCTTTTGAGACAATAGCAGCATGTTTATTCTTATTTATAAACAGAGTGATTTTCCAATTCCTAGAACCAACAACAAATCCCTTAAAATCTAAGGCAAGTCCAAAGCAAAATATGCTAGTTCTTCAACCTCTATCAATATATCAGCTGGACACAGAAACAGAGATCTTTTTGAACCACTTTTAATTTTGTTTTGTTTTTTCCTTGTACAGGTGGTGACATTGCTTTCCCAGCTAGGGAACCAGTGGAGTCTTTGGTTTGGTTCATCAGTCCTTTCTGTGGTGGAACTGGCAGAGTTGATTTTAGATTTTTTGATCGTCACCTGCATCCTGGTTTTCCGCCGGCTGTACTCATATCAATCTTCAGACCTTTATACACCCAGCAACTCAAATAACTCTGTTTTCCACAACATCATTTCGGCCCACAAAACTCCACAAGAAATACCTGCTGAGACTGGGATTGCTGCACTGCCATCTTATAACACCTTAGAAACATTAGACTTACACAGAGTTTCCTTCAGAACAGAATAAAATCCAGACCGGGATGCTTTGGATATGACATTATATATTTTAATTAATGCTGACTTATAGACTCAGCACTTGGAACTAACTTGTTAGCTGGATTCTCACACCGAGAAGATAGGTCTGAATTTCTAAAAGAATTCTGAAGATACAGATCCAATGACATGAAAGCACCTTTCTGTCTCACTTTGTCCTTGGTGTCTGCAAGTCTGTATCTGTCCACCACCAAACAAAATTAAAAAGATGGATTCTGTGTATTTTTTCCCTATGTATTTTGAGAAATAAGTTTCTACAAATTGATCTTGGTTGTTGCTTTCAATTTCTTTTCTTTGAGGCCACTTACTGATCAAATTAAAGTCAAGTGGACAAAGATATCTAATCCCTTTCTTGTAGGTTAAAAACAAACACAAGTTTTTTCCCATCCCTTGAGATAGCTAGAACTCTTTGCTGATTGCAGCTAAGTATCAGCATGAAGATGTGTACTGGAAACCGAGAACAGCTAAACAGGATATTAAAGCTTGCTAGGATTAGAACCCTTATACATGGATAAACTTCCATACTATGAACAGTAAAAGATCCCTAATTCTGGGTCCATGAACTACCCAGGTACACTTCAATCAGTGCTTCTTTAAGAAAGCTATAACAAGGATTTTCATCCACTTCTCTTCCTTTTGAGTAGATCCAAACTTTGAAGACTGTATATACTTTATTATGCATTTAATATGGATGTTAAGTCTTACTCCGCTACTCATGAGACTAAATATTCAGCTTCTGTATTGTATCTCTTCAACTTCTTGTGTATCTCCCTGTGAATAACTTCAGTTAAACAAGGACCTAAATTCTTTCTCACTTCCTTTGTTCTCCTGGGACAGTATATTCTTAGTCTTGGGTTCATTCTTGAAGTGAATGGAAGGCCTTCATATTGTCACTATTTCCCATTCAGCAAATAACAAATATCCCTCCAAGAGCAAACCATGGTTATGTGAACATCAGCGTCCTTTTCTCCCTTTGAATAGTATTGTATAAAAAATCCAAGATGGGGTTAGAAGGTCAGACTTTCTAATTTATATTTTTAGAAAGCACTGTTGTTTTAATATAGGTAATTAGTCTGTATGCCAGAGGTTCTGCAGAAACCCACTTACCTAGTATATAGGATGATAACCATATGTGATATAAAGAAAATATTAATTTATGAAGATTCTACTAGCATCCCATCAATCTAGGTCCACCTTCTGTATTTCATTTCATCAACAAAAAAGGAAAGACGTGGATCTTCAGCCCTTCTAAGTTAAGAATTTTACAGAATTAGAACTTTAATCCTTCTCTCCACAAAATATTTGCTTTTGCATATTACAGCCTGTAAAAATGGAAAGTACTTTCAGCTGTGAGGATTTCCATATTGGCAGTGAAGCAAGAATCAACATCAGTGTTTGTCTCAGTGTTTCCCTCTGAATTCTTAATTCTTAAAGATTTCTTTCTGAATTCTTAAAGATTTCAATGTTCCTCGACTGCATGTGGATAGCCTAAGTAGTTCTCCCTTCCCCAAAGTGGACACTCTCTGAATGTTTACTGATATATTAGCTTAACCAGATAAAATGATCATAGCTATCATTTGCGACATATTTTTTGCACACAAAAAAAGGTTTTGTTCTGCATTTTTAGCATTAGGAATATCAAATTAAAAATAAATTTCCAAAAATGAAAGAGGAAAAATATCCTGATTTTGACTGGAAAGTATAACTGTGACCGAAACCCAGTGTACCAGTGCCTACAATCCTATAATCATTCAGGTTTCATTTAAAATGCCTTTGCTGTGTACCCTTCTGATATGTCTTTTAAAAAGTATATTATTGTAATTTGTGTTTGCTTTTCGGAATCCTCTCCATATCCGTAAGTCAAGTCAGTGGTTCTTACCCTGTGGTGCACAAATTCCCGGTGGGGGGGCCGCGATGTTGTCATAGCTTGAAGAAATGTTATGATTTAAATCTTGAGTTAAGTCTTGGTGGCCGTGGTCACAAAGGGTATTTAAAGGGGGTCCAATGTGAAGAAAAGGTTGAGAACCACCAAGTTAAGCATTTCAGCAATGACATGTCTCTCAGCACTTCTTGTACACACTGTATATGTGTACACATACACTGTCAGCAAGTTATAGCTTCCCATTCCATGAGCTACAGTTGGGAATGAAGATGAATTGTTTAATATACAATAGGACGGTTAATTTTTTCCAATACATCATTATCAAATCCAATATTCTCTCTGCATTTAAATCAGCACATGATGGAGTGTAGAGACAATATATCTGGCATGCAGAAGATGAAGTAACATAATGGGGATGGGACTTCAGGCAGTGACTGAAGGTAGATACCCTTTAAGTACATTAGAACAATCCTAATCCCGTGTGCCATATTAACAGTGCAAGACAGACAACTATTGCTCTAATTTCAGTATGCTGTAGTCTATAGACTTGCTTTGATAGCAGCTGGGCAGGATCTTAATGCAACATTTCCATATCATCTATACATAACAAAAGCAGTGCCATCTGAGAACTGTGTTTCTTTTGGTCTTATAACTCTGACTTGAACACAAATAATAAAAAGTAGAATATGAGAGTTGTGCACTCTTGTATGCATAAACTGGACACAAGTTGTTGTCAAACAGCACAAGGCCTATCGTGACAACAGCGTGCTGTCCCTTTCATCACTACTTTCTTGTGCAAGGTTAGCAAGTTCATGAATTCTTTTTACAGATGCGAGACCATCATACAACTCTTTTGCACAGTAGCTTTGTGTTTAAACAGAAGGATCCGAACAAATTCTCATGCACTCTCAACCACTGTATCCAAGAGGTTAGTTGTATACCGTTTATTTCCACACTGGAACTAATTAGGAATATTACACTGTTAGCATTTTGTTCTCTTTGACATTTATTTGTTCTGCTTGTAACAGCTATTTTGCTAAATTTCTTTATGCAAAAGAAATAGAAAATGCATTATGCCAATATAATGGGGATTAAACAGGAGAGGCAGATTAGGCAAAACCCAAAAAAGGTGGGGAAGGGATATTTGTTAAACCCTAGTCAAAGGCTGCCTTCGCTCAGGATTCTTCCAAAGATCTTGCCTTCCACTGCTCTTAACTGCAGCCAATTCTGTTAAAATTCCACAAGGGCATTTCAAGTCCAAATTAAGCACAAACGCTGCTCATCTACTCGATGTTCAGTGCAACATCCCGTTGTGCAATTGTACATATCAACTAGTTAAACCAGCACGCAGCCTGTTTTATGCAGCAATCAACAAGAATCCACATGGGTGAAGATCAAGTTTGCCAGCCCTCCTGCATCTATCTGTCTGTCTGTCTGTCTACCTATCTACCTACCTACCTACCTATATCTAGATGCCATGTTGGACACTTGTGATCCATCTCACATTGGGTTACACATATTTGGACAATATTGTTTTAGTACTCTTATTTCAGTCTACATTCTTCCGCTTTACTACCTGTAAGTAGAATGCTGTTTCCTCCAGTACTCAGACAGATGAACCCCAGTCATTTTAGTGGGTCAAAAAGTATTTGCTAGTGGAGACTGTTAACATGAGCTGGTAGTTACACATGCCAGAAGAACATTATGGCTGCATTCCTCACAAGAACATACCACACATGTGTGAGAAAGCGGCTGAAGTCCTGTGCATAGAGAAAGTAGTCCCTTGGTTTAGGCAAAGAGGGCCTAGGGAAATGGGGTACTGTTTGCCCATGCATAAAGATGGAGAAGTAGGGAGATAGAAAGGGAAGAAGCGTAACATACAACATCTATGAAAACAGACAAGAAAAGCAGAAGAAAGCAGCCTAGTGGCCTTCTCTCAAAACAATACGGCAGCAGATTAAACCAAGATCTTGTCCAGAAGAAATCAAGAAGGGGCTGTACCACCTTACTGTGCTTCCTCTCATACTGACAGCAGCATCACACCTTGTGCCCGGGCTCCTCTTCAGGTGTTGCACTTCCATCAACACAGTCCCACCGAAATAGGAAGAGAATTGTCCAGAGAAGATGGGAACTCCATTCCTGTTCTCCTCCATCATGTCCCCACAAAGGGGAAAACAAGATGGGGATTGGCAAACAGATGGACTCTGCAAATGAAATGCTGGTGCATGGCAGTGGACATGCAAAAAATCAGCACCTCTGCAGCATGCTATGGTGAAAGTAGGGTTACTCCTAGCACAGCCAGAACAAATGTTTAGGAGTGCGATAAAATTGGTCTGAGGTTAAAATAAGCCCAGTGGCCACCAGTTGATCAGTCCTGTCAGAGCATTACAGCATCTGAGCCCCTGCAACAATATTCTCTGGTCAACTACGGACACTACAACAAGGCCTCTTACCAAGTTAACCCTCATCGTTTTATCAGTTTTACCAGACTGGAATCAGGAAAACTACCATTCTTCAGCATGTTTAAACTCATATTCACCACTCTCTGTACTCCTTCCACCCTGGAGTCTGACACCTTATTCAACAGAGGAATAAATGAGCATGAGTTCACCTACACGTGTCACTGTATATTCTGACAACCATCTCCAAGGGATGACCTGAAAGTAAATGTGGTGAGAAACAGCACATCAAGAAAATATTAATGCGTTATTCCAGAATTCTTGGCATTCTGCATTGCTGTTTCCAAGTCATGAAACCGGCAAGGGTCCTCACTTTATAGCACATTGCTTTTAAAAGGAAACACTTCTAAATATACTGCAGAGGTTTCCAGGACATAGTTCCTACGCCTACTATTCACTAAGGGGCAAGCAGTACAGGGACTTTCCAATTCAGTGAAACCCTCCCGTATCTGTTAATTTAGTCAAATAAGCCACCTAGCCTTTGAGACCAAGGGGGATGGGACTTCAGGCAGTACACTAGAATGATCCTAATCCCATGTGCCATATTATTCATCTAACCTCTAATTCTGCCAGTATTGGGAATAAAGGCAGACTTGTTCATGGAGTCAAGGTTAATGAATCAAACCAGTAACTTTTCTACTAAATCCAAGTAATGAAACAGTAAAGGATGGCTGGCAGTCATCATAAGATCAGAGTTTTGGTCACCAGAGCAACAACAGGAGTTTATATTAAAATCTAAGAGAAAACTCCATCAGTTCTGGTTGCATGGCACAATACCAGTATCACTACTATAATGAGAACCAACTTTTCTTCTCTCTATTCTGGTGAAGTTTTTAATAATACTGTTTGTGGCTAAAGGAAATGCTTTCCTATAGACTCACGGGAGAAGACATCTCAGAAGACTCAAGGCTATCTCAGACTGCAAGTGAAACCCTAGGTATAATCAACAGACTCCTTCAATTCTCCACAGTTCCTCCCCTTAGGCCCACTGCCACCCTCCAAAAACGAGCTGGTCCACTCAGAGGCTGCAGCAGCTGTGAAGGAGGTCAACTCAAATCTGGTAACGGTGCGTTACAGTCTCAAATGGAAGCAAACAGAAAAAACTAACAGAAAATCGATGACAAAGCCAGAAAGGAAAGAGAACGAAGAATTGGGTCTGGAAAGGGAAATGGGGTAAGAAGGCTATATAGACTGGGTGGGGAAAGGGGGAAGGGACACATTCTCAGGAAAAAAAGTAAACTAGGAACAGAAGCAACAGAAGGAAGAGAAAGGAGAAAACAGAGGGCATGTTACACCAAGCATCCCACATTTAACAAACACGGTTGAGTATCAGGAGAAGGAAATCCCCCCCCACCCCCCACCCTCTCTGCCTGCCTCTCATGCAGCAAGTGATACATCTCATGATCTCGAAAGGCAGAACTGTTACTGATCTGTTGGTCTTCAACAGTGCTGAGACAAAAGCAGTACCATTTCCCATGCCAGAGGGAAAGCAAACATTGTTGTTTAGCCAATGTTTGTGGCTCACAAACTCAGCTACTCTGATTCCCCTTAGTACTTACGTGCAATTGCAATGACCACAATGGCACAGATCACTCCCAGCATGATCATCATCTAAAGAGAAGAATTACAATGAGCCCATAGAGAACCCTCATACAACATCTCCTTTGGCAAAATCAAGGTCTCCAACAAAGATGGACAATGGACCACTTGAAACTGTTTATTCCAAGTCCATATTCATGTTCATTGATCCAACTATCCCAGTACTCATTATTCTGTTGGGCATCAATTTCCAGGTTCCCAATTATATTTTCCCAGACATGCCAGTGTTTTCCTGGAAATATTCCAAATTGAACCTATAACTTTAAGCATGCAAAACATTGGCTCTATTTCTGATCTATGGGTCTCCATCCCCTGTTCAGGAAATACACTGTTTTATTATAACAAAGTAGGAAAATTACTTATATAAAAGACTGGAAACCCTGAACAGATTTTTGGCTGAAATGGATAAAAATGAATTGGGGATTTAAAAAGTTTGTTTATAGGAAGAAGCGAACCATGATATGTAACTTGGGGGGATGGGCAGAAATGTTTATTACTATGTAAGTGCTGAAAAGATCAGAAGTTGCTTCTTTCTTTTTTCTTTCTTCTGTTATCTTTCACTTTTCTTTTGTTCTTTTATATTTTTTCTATGTGTCCTTCTTTCCTATGGAAAGAATCTTAATGTAACATTTTCTTGCAATAAAAATATTTTTAAAAGTAGGATTGCCTCAGCAGCTATACATTCAATAAGCTGCTCACTTCTTACTCACCTTACAATTCTTCCACCAATACTTCCTCTTGAGCGCTGCTGCACTACTTTCAAATACTTGGGCACCAGCTTGGAGAGCATCTGCTCGTTCGTCTAATTCTGAGAGTTTCTGATCTCGCTCCAAAACTTTATCCACATTCACACGCATAATATCCACCACCTAAAGAAAAAGAATAATTAGCTTCCTAGCAAGAGAAAGCAGATGTCAGGCATAAACAATCAGATCCACACGTGAATAATTCAATTAGCTATTTTGTAATTCATGCCTATGACACAAGAATCTTCTCAGATTCAACTAGATAAGGTTCAATGGCATTCAAGAGAAGTCAGACCTAGCTCTCTTGTGCCTACATAGAAATTCCAGACTAATTCCCACTTGACTCCTCCCTCTGGCATGGGCAGTCTCTCACCGACAGCAGAGGATCACAAAGAACCATTTTATTCACTTACTTCTTCCACCTGTGCTTGAGTCTGTTGCAGGCGCCAATTACTGGTCATATTTGGAGGTGCACCAGGGCCCCCCCCAGCATTTTCACCTCCTTCCTGTCCCGTCCCTGGGGCATCTTGCTGAGCTGGATCAGACCTGTGGAGACAGGTCAAGTACGAGAGATTATGCAGATGCCTATGTCCAATACTCAGCCAGAAACCAGAACATTAATATATACAACTATAATTTAGCTACAGGCTTATTATCAACACACAAGAAACCCAAGCACTACAACATGGAAATGACAAAGAGAAATATATTCAAATTTTCCAAAGAACTGGGCCATTCAAATTCTTGATCTGTTCATCTTTAAAGCAAAAGGACCTTAAGAGGAAGCTGGAAGACTTAGGTCTAACATAAACAAGTATGTACTTGTATAATGATATAATTCACACTATTTTACATTGTTGTACTGTTTATTAATTGTTAATCCAGAGGATTTAGAAGTAGTGGCTTTCTAGATCTAACAAATAAATGTCAAATGCCTGATAGTAATGTAGGAAGTAGTGAAAAATAGCAGAGAATGTAAAAGAGAATGGGTTCAGTACCTATTAAATCAGGGGCTGAAGTAGCTCACATGGTAAGATGCTGGGCCTGTGCACCGCTGAGGTTGGCAGCTTGGCGGTTCGATTCCTGTGCGCGAATAAACCGCATAGGGACAAGAAAGGAGCCTCCCCCGAATGCCTACCAGTATTCAGGCATCCCGGGGATAAAGATAACACCGCCTGAAAAAATCCTTTCACAGAGGCAGGCACCCACCTCGGTGATCCCTGGCTAACATGTGTCATACGCTAAATAAAATAAATAAATAAACTATTAAATCAAAGGACGCAACTATATTTCAGATGTAGTCTTTCTCTCCCCCAAGAACAACTATTTATTTATTTAATTTATATGCCACCCATCTCACTACTAGAGCAGTTCAGGTGTTACAATTCAATTACAAGTCAGGAGATATATTGGAGCGTTGTTCTGACTCATCTGGGCTCTTGAGGATATAAAAAATTGAAGTAGAGTTCACAAGAAGCATTGTAGGCCAAATTTAATGGAAATCCAGTGCATGGCAAGTAAAGGTTCAATAGCACGGTTGTGACAACTCATTTTAGCTGCTAAATTCAAGTCATAGCAGTGTCTCCTCACCGAGAAAATGCAAGTAAGATGACACAGCCATGTTCACTCAACTCTCCCCTTACCTCAGCAACAATTTTTTTTAGAAAGGGGGGGGGATTATTTAACCCTCTCATCATCTTCTATAAGACACTATTATTTGACTCATTATCAGACACTGATTATGAAGTGTGCTGAATTCATACAATGTACTACTTGAGTAATGTTAACAGAAACAATTAGAACTTGAATGGATAAATGAAAAGCAAGTCTGCAAGCATAAAAGAACTGCTGTGTCATGAGGTAGAAACATTTACCAATAAGTAACATTGCTAGATATATTTGGCTTTACTGCAAGAGGAGGAATAGATCAAAGAAACCATCAAATAAATCAGTTTAGATAAACACCGTTGAATTTTCCAATGGGGGGGGGCAGTGGGAAAAACTCATGAAGGTTACAGACTAATTAATGACCAGGTTGGCAAAAAATGCCATCAGAAGCTTCAGACAATGTTTCCGTAAGCAATCTTGCCATTATCCCACAGATGAAGACTGGAGAAATGCAATTATGGAAAAGGCAAGAAACAGAACAAAACTTCAAACTTTCTGTTCCACAAGCAAAGAAATATCTGCAGTCATTTGCACGCAAGCGCCCTGCGCATACAACAGTATTTGCTTCTCTTTTCAATGATGAATCCTCCTCCATCATCAAATTGCTCTTTCAGCAGTTATTATAAGGGGGCCAACTTGAATGCTTCTGAAATTAACCAGCTATCTTATTACCCGGGTTCACACATGCACCTCCTAGGAGAAAGCCGTACCAAGCAGAGTTTGGTCACACAAAACTCGTGCTGCGTTTTTATTTCTTCATGTAGGGACAATCGCCTGCGCTAATATACCGGTACATAAACTTTTAAGGCTTGTACGCAAGGCAAAAAAACACACAAAAAAAATGGCCTTTACGAAGATGCCTTCTAAAGTTCTGTGAAAATGCCCCTCTCCTCCATTGCCACCTATATTACCACTCAAGAAACCCGCTGGAGCCTCCGGCCACCTGATATCTCTCGCCTGAAAACTATTCAGGGGCCGGGGGGCAGGAATCGCAGCGAGGGGACGGGGAGATGGCGAAGCACCCGCTTGCCACAAGGAAAACTGCGGAGCCACCAGATGGGATGAGGCATCCGTCCCAGCTCCATCCCGCTTCGGCACCGGACTACCGAAAAAAAAAAAAAGGAGAAAGGGAGAGGAGGGGGGCGGGCGGCGATGCTGCAATGCGCAACTCGGCAAGCGCCGCAACCGTGCGGGAAAACCGGCCGCGCATCACAGGAAGGCAAGCACCGACGAGAGCGTCCGTCCCGTTGCTACTCACATGGCCGGCCTCGGCTCTAGGAGGCCTTTGTCGTCTTTTTCAGGAGAAAATGCACGAAGCAGCAGCAAGGTGGACGGCCGGCCGGTGGGAACGGACCAAGCAAGAGGGTCTCCACCGGCGGCTATCGAAAATTACTGCAGCAGGAACCTCGCCCCCGTTCCCGGGTTTTATGCAAGGGGAGGGGCGGTCCTCTCGGCCCCGCCCTGTCACGCAGCGAGCCAATGAAGGGCGCGTTCCTATCATCACATGCCCCCGATTGTTGCCGGCAAAACTCAGCCAGCAAATCCGCGTTCCCTGCCTTTAGTGCGAAGGCTTCAGCGAGCAGGGGGTTGCAGTTCGATAGGGGATCGATGTTGGCCAAATTTGCATAGTTTTATTTTTATTCATTCATTCATTCATTCATTCATTTATTTATTTTTATCAATTGCTTACAAGATAATAGGTATAAGTAAAAACTTAGTTATGAATACAGGGATACATATAAGAAAAATAAAAGAAACAATATGACAGGGACGGTAGGCACGGCGGTGCGCTTTGTGCACGCTCTCTTTCTTATTTTCTTATTCACGCTTATTGTCTCTCTTCCGAACCTCTCCGAGATCCTGGGACTGCAATTGGGAACACGCGAGCGACAGTCCCAATAACTTCAGTCAGCAGTTTGCTGCTGTTGTCATATATGCTGGTGCGCGGTTCCTAACTTTTGCTTCTTTCAGATTCTTCTCTGCGGGTGACAAAGGGCGGCCAACTGAACTGAAGCTATGACTGCGTCGTCAGCAATATATTCCTTCGGGGGCGGGGGGAAGTCATATAGAGATCCTGACGTTCTCTTCTGCTTAACTGGTGAACCCCCAGTTTTATACTGGGGGGGGGATTTTTAACCAGCAATGTGTTTAAAAGTGAGAGATACGTTTGTGAGAATGAGAGAGATCGAGCGTAATTTGAAGGGATTATATTTGCTGTAGAAATGTGTGGGGAATTTCGGTTGGAAAATCCAAATCGGCTTCTGTTTGTTTATATCGAAAATCGGAATGACAACGCTGCAGCCTTATTCTTCCAAGCGGAGCTCCACCAACTTTATTTTTATTTATTTTATTTATTTTGTCAAAAGCTTACAATACAGTAGAAATAGGAATAAACATAAGTTTAAATATAAGAAATAGGAACTAATAATTGGGGACAATAGGACAGAGACGGTAGGCACAATGGTGCACTTATGCACGTCCCTTACAGACCTCTTAGGAATGGGGTGAGGGCAATAGAGGTTACTTTGAGGGTAAAGGAGTGGGGGTTTGAGCAGGTGACAACAGAGTCAGGTAGTGAGTTCCAGACATTGACTACTCTGTTGCTGAAATCGTACTTCCTGCAATCGAGTTTGGAGTGGTTTACATTAAGTTTGTATCTGTTGTGTGCTCGTGTTGTTGTGGTTAAAGCTGAAATATTCATTAACTGGCAAGACGTTGTAACATATGATTTTATGTACCATGCTTAAGTCCAATCTTAGCTGGCATAGTTCAAGGTTGTCTAACTTCTCTTAATTCTTTCTACATTTTTATATCTTGCCTTTTTCTCAGAGACCATAGAGGTATTGTTGTTTCATGCTCAACTTGTAAACCATCCAGACCTAACCATGACTTACTATACTTTATCAGTAGAGCTGCATTAGCATTGGAGTTGCCACTTCCAGAATTGGCAGGTTGGAATTGGGAGTGGTTCGTCCTTGAAATGTTTTTAAAATAAGGTGTGTGCATACAGGCGCATCTCTGAATCGTTTTTTTGTTCCAACTCCAGGGCAAGTCTACGCAATTTTGCCAAGTTCTTTGGAAATATATTGCTACTAGATGGTGCTGGTGCTTCGCGATGACACTGTGATTGGGCTATGCAGGAGAAATCCGGTTCACAACCCGTTGGCTCAGTGGTGGTCGGTGATTGAAACACATAAAGGAATATCGCTCCTACTGCCTTGAGTCTGGAAGTAGTTCCATAGCTGGAAGGCATAGACATTTTGGTGAGGTACCACCATTTAGTACTGTAAGGAGCCCCAGACCACTCCTGAGTGAAGGAGTGGAACGTCTGCAAGTTTGAACTGAGGTAATGGAATGTGAGACAACTGGCAGTGATTGGGCTATATAGAAATCCGGTTCACAATCTGTTGGCTCAGTGGTGATCAGTGATTGAAACACATAAGGGAATATTGCTCCTGCAGTCTTGAAACCAGAAGCAGTTCCATAGGTGGAAGGCATAGACATTTTGGCAAGGTAGTTTAGTACTGTAAAGAATCCCAGACTACCCTCTGATGTTCTGCCATGGAGAAGATGGCTATTATATCAATACGACGTAAAGACCAAGGTTCCTCTCAAGAAGACCATATCTGCTGCTGATTTTTACAGCTACAGGATAATGGAGCATGATGGCAGAGAATGCTACCTACTGCTGTTCTGCAACCTTGTGAGGTTGGAACAGTTCTTTTCAGGTGGGGAAGGAGAGTAGAAAACCTTAGCATCAGAGCGAGTTAATTATTGTATTAAGAAATAGTAATGATCTGATGGTCATTTTGAAAAATCCTTTCTTAGCAAGCACCTAGAAGCCAAGGGGAACGTATGTGCCAAATTTCAAGTTTGTAGGCTTTATGATTCTGGAGATTTTGTGATGAGTGAGCGGTACTTGGCTTTTATATATATAGATTGCCTTTTTCCTAGGATTAAGAGAGAGTGACTGACCTAGGGTCACCTAGCTGGTTTCATGTCCAGGCTCTCAATTGCCTGATGCCTTAACTGCTACACCAAACTGGCTCTCTTAAAATATCAATTTTATTTACAACCAAGGGTCCCAAAGCAAGTAGTATCACCTAAACTTGGCATTAAAGCAGATTAACAAATATGTAGTAAATACCACTTTAAACCCCGACTCATTGATTTGTTACCAAGAACCTTCTTTTTATAGCTATAGTTAAAAGTCTACACCTTTTAGATTTACTTCTTGAGTTAATTCAATCACTACACAGTACTTATCAACTTCTTTTGTTTTTGATTTATTGGCTTAATTAAATAGATTTTCAGTACTTCTGCCCAAATCTTACCTTGTTTTAGCTATGCTACAACCATATTGTTTGAACACAAATGTTCAGTTGCAATATAGTTTCTTGGAAATCATACAAGTATAAATCTAAGTACAGGTAGCCTTTGATTTACGACCACTTGTTTAGCACTGTTCAAAGTTACAATGGCATTGAAAAAAGTGACTTATAAGCTGGTCCTTGCACTTATGACCTTTGCAGCATTCCCCCAGTCACATAATCAAAATTTAGACATTTGGCAACCAGCATCTATTTACAATGGTTGCTGTGCCCTGGGGTCACATGATCACCATTTGCAACCTTTTCACCTGACTTATGACAAGTAAAGTCAGTGGGAGAAGCAGGATTTACTTACTGATAGTGCAATTCACTTAACAACTGCAATGATTCACTTTTTGCTGTTTTAACCATGGTAAAAAAGGCTATAAAATCGGATGCAAGTTCAATAGGAAACTGGACAACATTATAAAGTATGTATTTTTGGAAACAAAGAGGTTTATCTTACTTATATTAGTAATCCTTTTAGCCAGGATACATAATTCCATGGTGCTGAGAGAAACATATAGTAGCAGCAGATTCTGCAAAGTATCAGCTAAACTGCTTTATAAGGCATCTGATCTGTTCTCTTTCAAATTAAGGCTCCAAACTGAAAGAGGAGCAGTAAATTCCCTCACTTTTTAATAATTACACAAACTTAGTCATGATTAAAATTTGTTGAACTAATTTTCTGGGACCACAGGTCACATTATACAAATATGTAACCAGTATGATGTCACCAAAAGTGATCGTGAAGTAAAAACACCCCGAGCCTGATGGAAGCCAACATCCATTTGAATATACAATATTATTCAGACAGAAATCTGAGTTCTCCCTCTTCTACCTTTGCCGTTTGGTTATGATATTTAGCTTCTATTGCTTGGATAAATTTTTTACCAAAGCCCATCTGTTCCAGCTGTAATAACATGAATCACCAATTCACATATCAAATGCCTTCTGTGTTTCTAAAAATATCAAAGCCATTTGTTTTTCAGGGTGTGCCTCATCGTATTCCAAAGTGTCCAAGATTACTCTCATATTGTCTTTGATTTGTCTCTTTGGCAGAAATCCATTTTGATCAGGGTGGATAAAATTATTCAGGTATTTTTTAAGTCTTTCTGCCAATATTGAAGCAAAAATTTTGTAATCTGCATTTAGTAAGGAAATAGGTCTGTAGTTCTCGATTTGTAATGGGTCAGCCTCCTCTTTTGGGACAAGTGTAATATAAGCTTCTGATCATGATTTAGGTATCTTCTTCTTTAACATAACTTCATTCATAACTTCTAGCAATGGAAGGTTCAATGATTCTTGTAGTGTTTTGTAGAATTCTTCCGGAAGTCCATCTGGGCCTGGTGCCTTTCCATTGTTTTGCTTCTTAAGTGCTTCATTTCAACCTCTTTAGGTATCTGGGGTAGGTTAGCATTTTGTAAGTACTGTTTAACACTTTCCTTGTCAATATTCTCATGTGTATAGTTTCCCATAGTAGTCTCGTATAATTTCCTTTTTCTCTTTACTTCCATAACAAACTTGGTCTTGATCATTTATTAATTGCAATATTTTCCTTGATTCTTTCTCCTTTCTCAGTTTATATGCCAACCATCTACCTGGTTTGTTTGCATCTTCAAAATAGTTCTGCACCTCTGATTTTCTGTGCTAGTTCTTCTTTTTCCATTAGTCCCATTTTATGCTTAATTATATCAATTTTTAACTTAATATCCTTTTTCTGTGGCATTTTCTGTAACTCTTTTTCAAGTTCTTTATACTCAACCTCTTATGTCTTAGAGGCTAGTCTTCTCTTGATATTTCTTTTCCTTGTATAATCTATTATCAAGCCTCTGGCATATGCCTTCATTGTATCCCATACATTCTGCATTGATGTGTCATCTTTTTTATTTTCTCTTTTTTAAAAAAGGCAGTTCTTTCTCCATCCTCTTTATGAAGTCTTTTTCTTTTAGTATAGTATTACCTAACATCCATCTAGATCTTCTTCTTTGTCCTTTCCATTTAATCGTCATTGGATTGTGAT